CCTTAGAAAACCCTTGTAACCCTTAGAAAACCCTTGTAACCCTTGTTTCATTCCGGTAATAAATCATTTTCCAACATTGTTGAGCTTTTCAACAACATCCCTGCCTCCTATTTAAAGGAATCTGACCTTCTGGTTGCCTCTCCCTTTCCTGCCCCCTTCCTTCTTTCAATGTCACCGTTTCAGGCTTAAAACGCGCTTTCTTTCAGTCGGGCCTTCCACAGCTTGGGGGGAATTTCTCCCGTGCGTGAAAGGCGAGCGGAGAGCTTAATGAGAGAAGCGGCTTCCTCCCTCCTAATCCAACTAGGGCATTTCGAAGTGGATTTAGAATTAAACCTTGATTAAAGAGAATTTCTTTCCATCAGCTGCTCTGCAGCTGTATTAGCCGAGACTGATCGCGGGAAGGTGAAAGGGGGCAGGAAATGCTGGGTTGGGTGGAAAGGGGGGCTGAAGCGCCGCCTGACACACACACGCACGCACGCACACACACACACACACACGGCCGGGATCAAAGAGCCAACAGAAACCTCTCCCTGTTTTCCCCGCGTGGGCTTCCCAGCGTCTGGAATGGGGGGAGGGAGGCTCTGATCCTGGGTGGAGTGACAGAGCAGCGCCTCGCGTGGGAATCCAGCCCGGCCGCTCTTCCCTTGAGATGCGTCTTCGCGGGTTTTGAGTTCACCTCGGACGGTGGGACCCCCAATGGCTGGGTTCGGCGTGGCTGGCTTGGCTGCCGGCGGGACCCTCCGCCTCCTGGCCGGATCTTTCTTGCTGGCTACCAGTAAGTGCTGTGTGGGTTGGTCCCTTCCATCAAGTCGGGCGGGTGGGCTCCGCTGCCCGGCCCGGTCCTCGCCACCTTCGGAGGCATCTGCGGAGAATCACCTGATCTGGAATTACATAAGGCGAAGCTCCCTCCCACCTGCGGCGACCCCGCAGAGCCTTTTCTGGGGCTCCCTCTTTCGAGCCCCCCCTTCCTCACGCCCCAGAGTCTTCCCTCCCTCCACAAGTTGGGTCTTTTCTTGGAGGGGGCCTCACTTTTTCCCCGTGGCCTTTTCC